AGTGCCTGCGGAAAGGGCATAAACCAGGCTTTAGATGGGCCCGGTGCCCCACAGGACAAAACCTGGAGCCTGAATCCAAAGGAAACCACTAAGCAGATCCCAAGAGGTGGAACAGAAAGTCCAACAGTCCTGTTCCAGCGCTAACTGTTCTCAGGTCCAGTTTCATATTAGAGAAAGGAAATGAAAAATTCCTCCACAGTCGTTACATTGCCGCCGCCTGCCAGAGAATGCGGCCTGTTTTAATCCCGGCTGTGTGGCCGTGTCCACCGTGCCTCATTCACGATCTGTGTGTTTTTTTCACTCACATGGGGTTAACCGTGGGTGTACAAACAATGTCACACTGCAAATCCCTCTCAAGAGCGCCGAACAAGTTCATCAGCATGGCTGTGAGCGTCGGTGACGTAGGCACACTTCTCACCAGCCCGCTGGTGCTTCCCTCGGCTGAATTCCTGCCATCTGCTCTCTGAGCTGTTTGCAACCATTTTATTTCCTTAATGGAAGAAATGATGTTTAAGCTTTTTTCAACAGTTGCATCAATTAGTCTTCAGTGTTTTAGCTTTTTGTCATTCATGCGGTTTCTAGAATTTTACAATCTGCACAGGCAGTTGTTGCACTCATCCTTATTATCTGAGGGTACATTCCTGCCTGTCAGCCACCTCAGCTGTGTGCATTGTTGCTTTGTTGTTTGCTACTATTATTAGTCCTGTGGAAGAGAGAGCAGGGAACCTCCCTGCATTTGTTTCTACCTCAGTGCTGAGAGTGGGCCAGAAGAAGGCGACCGAGGAGCTGTTTACCCAGCCTTTGTGCTCGGCGGGCCTCAGTGTTTGCCCAGCAGGGAGTGCCTCAGCTTAAAGGCCCTAGCATGTGGTCCGTGTGGGTGGGTGGGTGGATGGAGCCGAGAGGCGGGAGCGCACGGGACGAACCGTAAATGCAATCGGTTCATGTTGCGTACAGAGTGTCCCCCCACCCCACCTGTCACCGGCCCGCTCCCTTTGTCCATCCTTCAGGCTGGACGGCAGGTGCTGAGCTCAGAGGTATAGATTCAGCCCTGCATGAAGAACAGAAATTAAAATAAATAATTCTCCAAAACATTTCTTTCTTGATTCAACTAATATTTTTAGTGAATTTGACAGATTCCTCAAATTTAAAGGAAGGAAAATTATATAATGCAAACACTGCAAAAAATCTAAATCTAGATAAGTCATTTTTTCTTAAAATAAGTGCATTTGTTCTTGAATTGAGGAGGTAAAAGAGACATTTCGCCAATGGAACGAGACAATTTACACTTAAAATAAGAAAACACACTTGCATCGTCTTATTTCAAGTGCATATTATCTAATTATCTTATTTTAAGAGTAAAAATACTCATTCAATTGGCAAACTATCTCATTTACTACTTAAAATAAGAGTGAATACATTTAATTTAGGAAATTTTTACTTATTTCTAGATTGTTTTTGCAGTGAAAACTGTCACTGTTTTCCTGCTCTGGCAGATTAATGCACTTATTTCTGACTAAATTCTTCTTAAAAGATTAATAATCTAACATAATCTGCTCTTGCTTAGTGTAGCAAATTTAAATTAAGATCATAGACTTTTACTGCATCTAAGATAAACAGATGGTTGGATTGTTTGAGCAGCGTGTCATTTAAAGGAAAAGTCCGGTCAGCAGGAATAATTAATGGATGATTATTTATACCTAAAACTAAAACGTTTGCAGCGATTTAATGAATTTAGCGTTAATCAGGAAAAGAATAAAAATTACAAATTTTGTAGTGATCTCCGAGTCTGGGAGCGGCCATTTTTTCC